GTGAAAACATGTACATATAAAACCTATATATTAATGTTCACAACATTATTCATAGAAACCAAGTGGAAACAACACAAAAGTTCATCAACGGATGAATGGAGAAACAAAAGGTGGTATAGCCACACAATGGAATATTATTTGGTCATAAAAAAGAACAAAGTGCTAATACATGTTACAACATGGACCATGAAAGCTTTATGCTAAGTGGAAAAAAAAACTAGTCACAAAAGACCACATATTATATTATTTCATTTATAGGAAATATCTGGAGTAGACAAACCTATAGGGGCAGAAGGTAAATTAGTAGTTGTCAAGGGTCATGGGTGAGGGTTTGCAATGAGTGACTGTTAATTGGTTCACAAAGTGTGGGATTCTGTAGAATATTAAAGAGGAGCAGAAATCACAAAAGCTGTACAAATACAGACTTCATAGTGTCTGAGCTTTATGAGCAGAAGATAAAAGGGAGAGAATTGAGATAAAAAGGAGTGATCAATCCAGGTTGCAGGATATAGAAAAAAATTAGAGGATGACATAGACTTCCAGGTGAGAATATAAGAATATCTAGACCAAAATCAGGAGAGAGAAGAGAATCAATACTTTTCATCGAAACTTTTGAGAGAAGGGATTGGTGGTTAACAGATTAATTCTAGTATGATCCATCTTATATGTGTTTAAGCTTCTCAAATTCTACTATAACTGGGCAAAATTGAATTGAGGATGGAGAGAGGCAGAGACGGGGGTGTGTGTGTAATAATCTAGATTCAAGTGTCGCCCTTGTGATCAAATGCAAAAAAAAAAAAAAAAAATTAAATAAATAAATAATGACTACAATAGTTTGTAGCTTCTCCCAAGAAGAGTAAGAGTCTTTTCTCCATCTCCTGAATCTAAGTTTGGCCATGTGATTTGCTTGATCAGTGAATAATTAGCAAATATAGCGCTTGAAGAGGCTGGAAAAGTGCTTATGAACTGGGATTCATCTTTACTATTGTTGCTTTTGGAACTCAGCCACCATGTGAAGAAGCCTGAGCAAGCCTGCCAGATACTGGAGACACATGCCCCAGTTGCCCTGTTACTCTAGCCAAGTGACAGATATGTCTAACCCCAAAGCTCATATTCATAATCATACTATCACCATCATCCCCACCACCACCATCATCATTATAGCATCTACTCTTATTATTATTATTCGTGTAGTATATACTCTCTCTCAACATGTTAAGAGTTGAAAAGAGAAAAGAGCACATAGCAATTAGAGTATGAAAACTAACCAATGTTTTTCTCTATAATGGGGCCTTGGAAAAGGTATACATCTTCTTTGAATCTCAGTTTTTTCAAGTGAGAATTAGACCTAACCATAGGATTCCTGAGAAAAATAAAAACATGGAAAAGTTGCCCTAGCTGGTTTGGTTCAGTGGATAGAATGTCGGCCTGTGAACTGAAAGGTCTTAGGTTTGATTCTGGTCAAGGGCACATGACTGGGTTGTGGCCTCGATCCCCAGTGGGAGACTTGCAGGAGGCAGCCAATCCATGAATCACTTTCATCGTGGATGTTCTCTCTCTCTCTCTCTCTCTCTCTCTCTCTCTCTCTCTCTCTCTCTCTCTCTCTCTCTCTCTCTCTTTCTCTCCCCCTTCCTCCCTCTTTTTTCCTTCCTCTCTAAAATCAATAAAAATATATTTTTAAAAAAACATGGAAAAGTTATCTTTTTTTAAAAATTGATTTCAGATAGAAATATAGTGCCAGGAGAGAGATAGAAACATCAATGATGAGAGAGAATCATTGTTTGGCTGCCTCCTGCACACCTCCCCCACCACCTAACCCTCACTGGAGATCAAGCCCGTAACCCGGGCATGGGCCCTGACCAGTAATTGAACTGTGACATCCTGGCTCATAGGTCAATGTTCAATCACTGAGCCATGATGACCAGGCAAAAAGTTATCTCTTGACTTTTTTTTTTTTTTAAGTGCTTTCTTGACTTAAAGTGATATATATTTGCAATTAATAAAGGGGATATGTTTTAAGCAAGCTCACCAGAAAAGTTTCCAAAGAATCTAACTTTAACAATCCCTTAAAAAATCAAGTAAAATATATTTGTTCTTCATAAAAAAATTGTTACATTTCCACCTTGTCTGAATTGTCACAGAATATAATAGTGCCATAAAAACTACATAGTGTTTCTAACGCTTTCAAAACTGTTCAACTTCTAGGGTTGGGAGAGGAAAGTATGTACTTTTCCAGTCTTTGAAATGCTTCCAGACTCTGTCATCCTCTTTTCATCTCCACATCAAAGTTGGGAAAAGCTCTTCTCCTCCAAGGACAGGTATATACATGCCACTCACTGAGGCACTTTGCTGCCCCATTAATCTGCCTCTTTTTCTATTTGCATTTTGAGAATTAAGCATCCGTCTTTTATTTCTCTTAGCTTTTTGCTGACTTGCACTCTCTCAGCTGGCAAGCTGATGACACATTTTGACAGGTGGTTTGGCTCATAAAAACAGCCAACAAAAGCAATCAGGGAGAGGGGCTTCACCAGAAGCATGGTCAGCGAACATAAAGTGCTGAACATGGTGGAAACACACAAACACATATTTATTAACTGGTTAAGAAAAAGAAGAGAGTTCCTTGCTTTCTGGATGACCTAAATCCCAACTCCCAGGATCTTGTAATCAAGAGAAGTCAAAACATAGGGTATGGAAAAATATGTGTTTGGGATTCATTTAAAAAATTCAAATTCAGCAAATAGGTGAATTTGAAAATTTTTAAATTTCCAAGTATTTACACTGATCCTGTACACAATTTTTTTTTTTAAATGGGAATGTTATTAACTCAAACCACCAAGATATTCTGCTACCCTCACAGAGGCCTCTGGTGAACAGTGTATGAAAGTCAAGGAAATGAGAAAATTCCCCAGTTGGCTCAAATAAAAAGATAAGCATGGAACAGACTGTGGAATTTCAGAGGGAAAGGTGGGGGAGGGTGGGTAGGTGGGAAGAAATCAACCAAAAAACGTATATGTATATAAGCATAACCCATGGACACAGACAATAGGGTGGTGAAGGGTGACGGGGATGGGGGATTAGAAGAGGCCAATGGAGGGAGTGGGAGGAGACATATGCAATACTTTCAACAATAAAGATTTTTTTAAAAAATAAAAAAGCCAAAATAAACTCACAGACACAAGATAAAGTAGAGAACAATAGTCAGAGAAGGCAGGGTTTCAAAACTAAAGGAGACCATGAGATCATACCCCTAAGAAATTTGCAGAAATTTTTAGGACATGCAACGTTTAATGGGGTATGAAATGGGAGTCCTGTCAGTGTATCTAGTTCTTAAGGGGTCAAGCATGTTCAGCTGACACCTAGCTTACCCATTATCAGCCTCCCTGTTTTAGCTCCCAACTTGTGCATTCTTGGGGGTCTTGCCTTCATATAGATCCCTCTGTTCTTGAGAGCCATAGCATCTCTTCATGGATGGCACAATTGGATTCTTTGACACCCAACATCTTTTGTCTTGTTCTGATTTGCAAGTTCATACATGGAATAGTCATGAATACATGTGTATGTTTCATTTTCCTTACCAGTTTTCCCAATTAGATTGACCAGTTAAAAGATTGCTTCCCCATCCTCTTCTCTGTCAGGATTTAGCTCTTTCTCTACCCCTTAGCTTACCCACAAGTTCTAGTTTATCTGGAATCTCACGTACCCTTTAGGAAAAGAAATGCTACCACATCCAAAAGGTGTAAAGGTCCCAAGGATAACTTGATCTGGCAAGTCACTGAATATGTTGGTGTACATGCCACCCCAAGGGAGGGCAGAATAGCTTTGACATACAGCTACCCGGCCAGATGGATAGATAAAATCAAGGTTAAGGAACTGATATTGATAAAACACACAATAATGATAATAATAATTTATGCCATTAATTCTTAGTCGATTTAATTATTTCAATTAGCCATTTACAGATAACGCAATAGAAGTCCAGAGAGAGTGACTCAATCCCCCATAGTCACTGAGCATGATAGTACCAGGCTAGCACACAGGTTCCTTGACTACCAGTTGCATGTTCCTACCATACACTCAATTACCTGCACCCTTATTTTAGACCTGAATTCTTTGAAATCAATTATGTGAATAACAACAGGTAAGTCTGGTCAGACTGGTCCAGTTTAATGGCAAAGTTGCTGGAAACCAAAGTTGCCCTTTGGTAACCAGCATTGCAGGGTGTGGTCATTCCAGCACACAGCAGGAGGACAAAAATCTCCTGACCAATGTTTGGATAGACAGGAGCAAAAGAAGGCTAAGGGATAATTGCAGATATGTGAACAATTTCAAAAAACCTAGCTGTACCAACCTCTACAAAACTAAGAGGGATTCTTGAGGTCTCTTTCATTTTGGATTTGTAAGAATTTATTACAATGCCCTCTTCTCTTTAAATTAGATTTTCTAGATGCTAAATCCTTAGGTGGCCCTCTCTACTAATCAGGAAAATGCAAGGAAAACTCATTTTCTCAGAACCACATAAGCACTCAGGTGCTTACCAAAAAGACTGGTTATAACCAGAGGGTTTTTTTTTTTTTTTTTTAATAAAGTAAGGTTTGTAAACTGGAGAATTTGTCTAAATCTGCTCTCCCAGTATGAGGGAATGCAGACCCCTGGGAGAAAGGGACTGAATAAACACAAGACATCAGATGTCCTTTCTGGAATTTTCTGATGAAACAGAAACACTCTACCTGTCAGCTTCTTCTACCATTCCTGGCCCCCTCCATCTTTCTTTCCCTTTGGAATTTCACAAGGATATTAGATCATGGAGGAACCGTCTATCAAGGCGTAATGGAACTTTTTCATCTCTGGGTCATCCTTTTGGACTGCTGGCATCTGAGGCCTCCCCTTCAGCAGCTCCAGCCAGAAATATTGAGAACCAAAGGGACTGTGGTCCACCACTGCCTCATCTTTAGGATCATTATAGTGGCGCAGAATAAGTTGTTTGTTGAATCCCTCTTCCTTCAGCTTAGCTTCTTCTGTTTTGCTATTCAAAAGAAAAGAATTCGAGACTTGGTTAATTGTTTGGTCTTATCAAGGACTGGAGGATGGCCAATGGCTGTTCTAATGGTATTTATTTATTTATTTATTTATTTATTTATTTATTTATGTTTAAAATATATTTTATTGATTTTTTACAGAGAGGAGGGGAGAGGGATAGAGAGTTAGAAACATCAACAAGAGAGAAACATCGACCAGCTGCCTCTTGCACACCCCTATTGGGGATGTGCCCGCAATCAATGTACATGCCCTTGACCGGAATCGAACCTGGGACCCTTCAGTCCGCATACCGATGCTCTATCCACTGAGCCAAACCGGTTTCAGCTGTTTTTTCTTTTTATTTTTAATATTCATTTGAGGATATGTTTATTAATGAGAGAGAGAGAGAGAAACATCACTCAGTTGCCTCTGCTCGGACCAGAGATGGGACCTTTAGTCTAGATATGTGCCCTGACTGGAAATTGAACCCAAAACCTTTTTGTGTTCAGGACAATGCTCCAACCAATGGAGTCAACCAGCCAGTGTTTAATGGGCTTATTTTAAATCATAATATCTGGATTTTGAAATCCTTAGCTAAGCATTTATGGAGTGCCTGCCATTTTTAAAGTTATTGAGTACCCACTGTGTGTGAAGCACTATACCAGAGGCTGTAGGACCTGTAGGACCAGTAAGTAGCCTTTGTCCTCATAGGAGCAGTATGATGCAGCACAGGCTTTGGATAAGAACTGAGATGAATCCTGGTACTGCCACTTGGGACCACAGAAAGTAAGCCAAGTAATAAACTCGAGCCTTGGTTTCTTCATCTCTAAAATATAGATAACAATACCTCACAGAATTGTAAGGAATCTCTGGTACATGCACGAACCCCAGTATTTAGCATGTACTCTATAAATACTAGTAGTTTTCATTACATTTTAATGGGGATTATTAATAATAAAGTGATAAAGGGGAAGAATAGGTGAATATGAAACAACTTAGCTTCTAGGTTTTAGACATAGACCTTGAAATTAAGGTAGCCTCTTAGAACATTCATTTAACTATCCACAAATATTCACTAGGTGTCTTTCACAGGCAAAACTCATGAGAAAGATGCTATCTATTTCCCTTCTAAAGAGAGCGCCCAAGTTAGGCAGCTGCATGGGAAAGCCAGGCTTCGGTGTATGCATATCCACTCCAAACTCTCTACTCGAATCTCTCCACTTCACAATACTATTCCCCACATTTCTAGTGTTGGGTGCTACAGGAGCTGTGGGCACAGTATGAAATGGGGACCTGCCAGGGCTCTGTATCTGAGGGTCAGTCATGAAGCAGACCTTCTTAGTTCTTGCCCAGCTTCCCCCACACTCGTGTAAACAAGTAGCAGATAGCTGTTGGCAATATGCCAGTAGAAGCCTCCAGAGTCAGGCTGGCAAAGCAGAGGTCATACACTAACGAGACAGTCTTAGTTCTCTTGGAGACAGCATCACCTGCTTTATCCACATGGGCTTCTGGCTTGCTTTTACTCAGTAATCCCAGCAACCAAAAGTGAGCTGCTGGGCTTCTCTGTTATTAAGACAGATTGTGGGAGATCCATGATCAAACTAGAGAATAATCAGAAGTGTCAGGAATGTAACTAGGGGAAGGAGGAGCCACCTTCCCAGAGAAGAGTAAGCAGTTTGGACACTTCTAATAGCATCACAGAGTGGAACTCAAAACACACAAACAAGCCCTAACTGGTTTTTCTTAGTGTATAGCGTGTTGGCCCTCGGACTGAAGGGTCCCTGGTTTGATTCAGGTCAAGGACACATACATCAGTTGCAGCTCCATCCCCGACCCAATGGTGGGCATGAAACAGGCAACCAATTGATGTGTCTCTCTCACATTGATGTTTGATGTTCTCTCTCTGTCTTACTCTCTCTAAAAATCAATGGAAAAATATCCTTTGGGTGAGGACTAACCAAAATAAAAAATTAAACAAAATAAATAAAAAACCCAAACACACAAACAAGCAAATCTCAGTAACAGCATAAAAGAATGTCTAAAGCTGGCCTCAGAAAGTCCTTTCAGATTTAGAGCAGATTCAAACAAGAATCCTTGATGTTTTTCATCTTAAGTTACACTTGAAAATTCCTGAAATTGAGCTGGCATATCTCAAGGAGGGTCTTGGAATATTTGAAAGATATGGTCTGTATGCCTGCACTTAACAGGTGAGTATGAGATCTGGGATGTGGGAAGAGATATGGTGAAAGAAAAGTTTTTAAAGATTTAAAAATAAGTAATTGAAAATAATACAGCTGATTAATAAAAGGCGGGAAAGGTTTAACAACCACACCATTGTTGAGCATTGGGAGTGGGCATCCTAGCAATCATCAAGAGTCATTGGTTCTTCCAAGATGCAGGTGGACACACTTCCCAATGAGCCTTGCAAGTAAGGAACCAGAGCCAGGAGGGTGGCCAAGGATCAAATCTGCCACTGTGTATTTGGAAAACGAAAATGCTTAATGAACAACAGATTTTTCTCTTTCCCCCTGTCTCTTCTCTTGCTTTCCTCCTCCTGCTGCTCCTTCCTTTCTTTCTCATATTCTCATGAAAACATACCCCATTGTCAAAAATGTGGTGAGTGGGCAAAATTACTGAACAATATGACAAAAGCAAAGCACTTATAGATTGCCATTCTTTTCCATACCAAAACACATGCATGCCTCTCCATTGATAAACATCAATGGTACAATATCAGTTTAACAACACAAAATTATAATCTACTGGAAACACGAGTCTAATTACTATTCTCCAAGTCTAACCTTAACCATTCATTCAATGCCTAAACATGATTTTATTTTTCTGTGACTTTCCACAAATGAATTTTTTGGATTATTTTTAAAAGAAAGGTAAGAATGCCACTAAAGTGTAAATACTTATAATCATTGGGAGAAAAAAGGCACACTCCACCTCCTTACCAATAAGACCAAAAATTAAGATACAAAAGCTCCAGTGCAAAAAACCCCAACCAAAATATCTTGCATTCTATAAATAAAATTAAATTAAATAAATAAAGTGGGCAGCTATAATTCAGGAAAGTTCCCCATTATCAGAGACATAGAAAGGGAGTGGACTGACAATTCTTGGGGGAAAGGGGTGCGGGGGGGTGGGGGGTGGGAAAAGACTGGACAAAAATCGTACATCTATGGATGAGGACAGTAGGGGGTGGGGTAAGAGAAGAGGGTGGGGTGGGAACTGGGTGGAGGGGAGCTATGGGGGGGGGGTGGGAAGAGTAACAAGTGTAATAATCTGAACAATAATGATTTATTTAAAAAGAAAACAAACAAACCAATGGGGAAGCCTAGCTGTTATGGCTCAGTGTTGAATGTTGACCTATGAACCAGGAGGTCACGGTCCAATTCCCAGTCAGGGGACATGCCCAGGTTGCAGGCTTTATCCCTGCAGGGGGCATGCAAGAGGCAGCAGATTAATGATTCTCTCATCACTGATGTTTCTCTGTCTTTATCTCCCTTCCTTTCTGAAATCAATTAAATATATATATATAAATTTAAACCTTAAAAATGGGGGGGAAATATTAAAACAAAGCATAGATAGCTATATAATAACAAAAGTTAAAACACTGACATCTTGCCAAAGCCGGTTTGGCTCAGTGGTAGAGCGTTGGTCTGCAGACTAAAAGTTCCCGGGTTCGATTCCGGTCAAGGGCATGTACATTGGTTGCGGGCACATCCCCAGTGGAGGGTGTGCAGGGGGCAGCTGGTCGATGTTTCTCTCTCATCGACGTTTCTAGCTCTCTATCTCTCTCCCTTCCTCTCTGTAAAAAAAAAAAAAAAAAAAAAAAAAAAAAAAAAAAAATCAATAAAATATATTTTAAAAAAACACACAAAACAATGACATTTTAATCATAAAATTAAAAGGAAATAAGTAGGAGAAATTGGTATTTATCACAAGTAACAAAAGATTAATATACTAAATACTTTAAAATCTTAAATGAACAGGTAAGAAAGACTCTAAAACCCTAGGGAGGAAAGGTACAGAGATTAAGAATGCCTGGTTATATGACATGCTGAAAGAAATGTTTTTAAATTTCAAAAAATACTTCAAAAGTTAAACCTCTCTAATTAGTAAAGAAATAGACACTTAAGAGTATTCTTTGTCTATCAATTTATCAAGGTTGAATGGTCTTAAGAATTACATTCAGTGCTAAGAATGTTGAGATAGCCTCTCTTACATTTCTATGAAGGGCTAGCGGCATGATTTTTCTAGAAAGCAATTTGGCAGTAACTTTCTAGAACTTTAAAAATGTTTATATATTTCAACCAAGTCCCACTTCTAGGAATATAGCTTTAGGAATGAATCAAAGAATTGAATAAATGTAAATATTCAATAATAGTAGTTCAAAAAAGTATGGAACATCCATGCAATGGACTTAATTCAAAGCAGCCATTCAAAATTTTATTTCTGAAGAATTTAACAGCATGGGAAAATGCTCATGTGATCAAAGAAAAAGCAGGACAAAAATGGGTTTCAAAAGATAGTATATAGCTTAACAGATAATATATAAACATGTAAAATACATAGCATTTAAATAGTACTTACTACATGTATGGTTGTGTATGTGTTTATATATGTAGATAGAAAGGGGATGTATAGAGTCTATGTGACCCTGGACAAGTCATCCTAGCATCTTGCCTATTGTATTCATAATATGAAAAGATACGTGCACACACAAACCCTACTCTTCCAGGTAACTCATGGAAAAGCTGGAGGAAAATATGTCAAAATGGTAAAAACAACAACAACAAAAAATAACAACGGTATTCCCTTATTGAAAAGGTTGTTAGTGTTTTCTTCTTATGGTTTCCTAAATTTTTGAAAAATTTAAATACTAAGAATGTATCAAAATACACTCCTGCAACCAGTATGTGGTATTTTCACACAGAACTAGAGTAGAAACAAATTGGGTAGACTTTGCAATCAGGTGCAGCTGGGTTTTAGCCCTGGCTC